CTTCTACAAAAAAAACGATTGTAGATGCTGAAGAGCAAGCTAATGGAAATAACGTAGCTTCACAAGAACAAATAAGACAATTAACATCAAATGAGAATATGAGTGATTATTGTCAATTTACTATTCAAAGCTTGATGGAATGTTATGAAATTGTAGCAGGATTAAAAAGGTAATTGCACTATAAAATCAATGTGTCTAAAAATTATTACTGGAGATCAGTCTTATACATTGTACTTGTTACACCTTTATTATCTGCAAAATCTGATGTATATAAATAAAAATGTGAAATCTCAAGATGCACTAACTATATCATGAAAATCCTGCACAAAGCTCAGCTTTGGTAGAAGCTAAAAGGTTTCAAATTGCTACAGGAAATTTAGTAACCATGAATTCCACCAGTAGTCATTATTAAAGAAAAAAAAACTACCTTACAAAAAGTTGTATTCATAAAAAAAAGATAAAAATTAAAATAAATAAAATAATATGCTATACTTTGTTGCAAAGACAGATAACAAAATTTCAATCCATCTATTCCCCTAATCATATTACTGCAAATCCTAAAGTTTATGTAAAAATACCAAATGTTGTAGAAGTTATTGAAAAAGCAGACTTGCAAGAATCAGATCATAGATATAAAATTCGTGTTGATATATTAAAAATGTCTGAGCACATAAAAAAGAAAACATTAAATGGAATGGAAAAAAATATGTCAAATATACGTACAGTTGATGTTACAGCCCTATGCTGTAGCTACATATGTGGGCAGGATGTGTCCAGGCGCATGCGCCCAAGATACTTTCCTGATGCAGTGCTACAATAGGAGATAAGATAAGAAGGAAGACAAGGCATTCAAGGTCATATCTGCTGCACAAAAGGTAGGTCTTGGGAGGGTTGCATATATATATATATATATAGTTATATAATGTTATATAATTATATAACTATCCATAACTATCCCGTTTATCCCATATACAGGCTGGCTTATAACAGTTCACCCTGCCTTCCATCTGCGAACCTGAAGCAGACCTGGCCGATCTGAAATCGAGATCATAAGCCAACAGATTGATGTTGTTTTAATTGATGTACTGTTTCCAACAACATTCTGGATCTGGAAAAATCTGGAAAAATGGTGGATTCTGGTGATTTTACTGGCAGCAGATTGATGTTGATCGCTGAAAATGATGGATTTTGGTGATTTCATCACGATATGAGGATTCACCAGGACAAAAAATCACCAGGACGATGCGGAGTTGTAAAGGGAAAATCTGGATCCAAACACCGAAGGAGACTTGAGTAACAACAACAACAACAACACTGATGATTTTGGGAGATGAAGTCCCTCTTCCTGAAACCGCCGAAAAAGAGACCAAGTTCCAGACCTTCCGCTAGCTTCCAGTGCAAGTATGGCCCCTGCTAGTTATAAGTTGACTATGAGTTGGGACTTCATAGAAATTCATAGTGACTATGAATTTCTATGAAGTCCCATCTCACACATAACATTCACAAAACTCATCCAACAAATTCTAAGAACACCTCAACGCGAATCCACTATCAATATTACTTGAAAACTCCGTCATATCATTATCTTGAGAACACAAGTAAGAAACTGAAAACAATGAAAAACAAAAAACACCGTTGCATTCACATCTCCATTATTCCTTTAAAAAAATCCCTGAAAACCCCAAAGCAAGTCCCATGCTGGAATCGAAACAACTCAAAAACTCCTGGCCACATGTCATTGGTTGGTAGAGTAGTCCCATCCCCGTTCACATTAAACACCCCCAGAAACCATGTGGTCGATTTTCTTCCCAGGGAAAAAAAACGCTAATCTAACTGGGACCAAAGAATGGGAGTCTACCTCCGACCCCATTTCTTGATCCGTTTCATATTCCATGAATACCCACGATATCTCCATGGTTGCCATCGATATTGCCATATAGCCCCAACACTTGGAATCGGCAGCACCTTCGCATATTGGGATCCTCATTGACCTGAAAGCGGATGACCAGGCACTGCGACTTTGCGAAACCCCGAAAATCTCTGAAAATCCATGGTTTCCTTTACCCTCTGGTAATGACTAAGATATAGCGAACTGGAAAATCACCTAATGTTTAAGAACGGTAAATCCTGAATGGTCCATTTCCTATAGCTATGTTACCAGAGGGTAGATGATCCCTTAAACCAATCCATACCAATCCATTGAATGATCTTTCACAGACTTTCCCAATACTTGAAGTGCGATCCCATGAAAGTACTGCAAAAAGCCACGACGGCCCTGCAAGCAACACGACAGCCGAAAACATGGATCAACCCCCAAACCCCCGAAAATGGGCACCCTTCGGCCCTTCGCATTCCAGAAAAAAATGGAATTCAACCAAGAACTGGTGAAAATATGAAAACCCGTTTGGGGCCGCAAATAGTCATCACTAATGAAAATGGGTTTCATGAGAATCAACAGTTCCAACCATGTTTGATTGCCGCAGGGCTTGTGGTTTGTTGCTTATATATCCAATAATATTCCCGGACAAAAAAAAACTGAATAAATATATAGATATTCAAATATAATATATATATATATATGAATATCTATATAACTATATCTATCTATTACAACTGTATAGATATATTAAATTTGTATATATATATATATATTTATTTACCTATGATCAAATCACCCTGAAGTCACCATCTTGACTTGGAGGATCTGGAGGCTACTGAGGAGCTCTTCAACAAGTCTACCCTTTGGTAAACATAGGAAAAACTATGGAAAATTGTGATTTAATGGGATTTTTCAGTTAATGGAACTTAATGGGATTTTTCAGTTCATAAATGGCCAATGGCTAACAGTTTGCTAGGGAACATCACCATTTTGAATCTGTAAATCAACTATTTCTATGGCAATGTTCAATAGTTATGTTAAAATACCAGAGGGTATTGGTTCAACAGTTCAACAGTTTTCAAACTCCACTTTTTGTTGGACACTTCAACAACTCATGTTCAACCCTTCAACCCGGTGCCTCCGGTCGAAGTCTCCTTCGCTTCTCTTCCTCAAGCGATTTCCCCAGGCCAGGGCGGCCGAGAAATGGCGCCACATGGAAAATCAGCTATTGATCAGCTACAATTCCCCGAAACAAAACCACAATTGCTTTGTGGGCGAAACCTCCATATTTTATCCAAGCAATATCCAAGCGAAATCTGGATTTTCTTGGCTAAATCACCATTGTCTGGGCGATGTTCGACCATGAAATCCCATTCACTGCACGGAAAAATCCCGAAGTCGCAGGTTTTTTCAGACGCACCTCCTCCAGGACTTTGCGATTGCTGGGCCCTGGACCTTGGATGACTATGGTTGATTACTATGGTTGACTATGATTAATAATAGTAATGCTATAGTAATTTACCATAATTATAGTCATTTATAGTCATTTGTAGTTATTTATAGTCATTTATAGTCATTTAATAGTCATTCAATAGTCATTTATAGTCATTTAATAGTTATTCAATAGTCATTTATAGTCATTTAATAGTCATTCAATAGTCATTTATAGTCATTTAATAGTCATTCAATAGTCATTTATAGTCATTTAATAGTCAGTCAATAGTCATTTATAGTCATTTAATAGTCATTCAATAGTCATTTATAGTCATTTAATAGTCAGTCAATAGTCATTTATAGTCATTTAATAGTCAGTCAATAGTCATTTATAGTCATTTAATAGTCAGTCAATAGTCATTTATAGTCATTTAATAGTCATTCAATAGTCATTTATAGTCATTTAATAGTCAGTCAATAGTCATTTATAGTCATTTAATAGTCATTCAATAGTCATTTATAGTCATTTAATAGTCATTCAATAGTCATTTATAGTCATTTAATAGTCAGTCAATAGTCATTTATAGTCATTTAATAGTCAGTCAATAGTCATTTATAGTCATTTAATAGTCATTCAATAGTCATTTATAGTCATTTAATAGTCAGTCAATAGTCATTTATAGTCATTTAATAGTCAGTCAATAGTCATTTATAGTCATTTAATAGTCATTCAATAGTCATTTATAGTCATTTATTACTATCTGTAGTTGAACCATAAACTATGACTTTGATTATATAATGAGTTCTATAGTCTATAGTAATATTACCCATAAAAAGGGAATTAGTATGAACCATAAACGAACCATAGATTGATGACTATTCGTAATATTATGGTTATGACTATGAGTAATATTATGGCTATGAACCGTTCCCAGTCATGGCTGGTTTATGGCATTGTTGTTTTACCCACGTTTTATCATGTGAAGAAGTTCATGATTTGTTGATTTCTATGAGCTAATTACTAAACGTACACCCCAATTTGTTTATTCAAAATCTAGGGTCTGTTTTCAAGTTTGGGAAATTTCAAAGTTGGCATGTTTATGATGTTTATGATGTTTTTTAATTGATCTCTTTTAGAAAACAAGTTGAAATTTGAGGTTCCATTTGAGGGTTTCACCCAAGGATATCATCTCCAAGAGGGCGATTACATACATTGGAAGATGCAGGATATCATCTGGGATAACATATGTGTATGATTTATTTATCCTGATAAGGGGATAATAGCCACCAGCTATTGATAGATTCTTGATATCCTCATTGATATTTGAAATCTATCATCTGGGTAAATTATAATATGTCACTAACCTGAATTCTTCGGCCATTTGGAGATGATTTCCCGCAATCTAACCATGATTCCAGTGAGGGAGAACAGTGAGGCCGTTACAGTTTACCCAGAATCATGATAAATTCCATGAAAACTCACTCCCATCAAACAATTATAAAGTCTCGTCTCTTAACCTCCAATTGACCTCAGTCTATGAATCTATGCACATACAAAGCCTGTACAGGGTAAACTAGCATAGATGTGCAACATCACCATGAAAATTATAGTTCATCATCTATAAATAGGTAATTTTCCAGATTCCACATCTATGCTAAGTGAACTCCATAGTGCATTGCGTGATTTTTTTCTACCCTGCGCTGCATTTCCGTCGCTTCTGTCGCGCATCGTTGGCGCCACGCTCCAGCAAGCGCATCAAAGCCATGTTCCCTGACGCGGCGTTCAGCATTCCCAACAAAAATGATGGTTTCACATGCAAAAATGGCGGGTTCAGCAGCAAAAATGCTGCTTTTACTGGCTTGAAGAAGGCAAAAAATGTGGCTGTTCAAGCGGTTTAAACGGGTCGGATCCAGTGATCTTTACACAGAAGTTCCTCTTCTTTCCAAGCGATTTTCTGTTCTGGTCACATTTGAATCTTTGAGTTCCCGTTCATTTTCCATATTCCGCGGATACGTCAGATGGCTAATGGGTCAAAACCCTGGTGCCATAGGTACCCTAAGTTATAGCTAGGAATTCTAGATGTTTATTCCCCCATACATATGGTAATTTAATAGGTAGCTTCACCCATCCCAAACTACGCCCAAACCATCAGGCAACATCCAAAACTCACGATCCAAAACCCGTCAATCATCAACCATCCAACACCTTCAGAAACCCTTCCATTTCCCCATGTTTCATAGACCAAGGAACTGAAAAACAAGAACAAACCTCTGATTCAGAGTCCAACTGTGTTGGTTCCTATCCCCAGAAACCGATGGCGATCACCAACTGATGGATTCATCACCAATTGCGGCTGGTATGTTTAATAGCAGTGCATCATCCTCTTCAGTAGAATCAAGATATACGGCACAAATGGAGGTTTTCGCAAACGTTGTCATGTTGGACATGTGCATTGCATGGTACCCTCCGTCAAAGACAGCAGTTGAAAATCCATCACAAAAACGGATGCAGCAGAATGGGAAAACCATCCAGAGATGGTTGATTTTCCTGCACGCCACGTGTGATTCCCGCCGTGATCCGTCCCTCGTTCCTTGCGGGTCACCCCATCCCCACCTAGTTCTATGAGTTTCCCCAAACCGCGAGGATTTTGCCCACCTTTGAGGACACCGGAGTATACTTCCCATTGATGGCAAGAAATCAAAGACAGGGCTCGGTAGATGTCCCATGGCTTGGGGATTTGTTTCACATCACTTTCAAATATCTGAAGATTATATCCCCAATATTTGGGTTATATATGTTCAATGAGGACATTTACCAACCCCCGTATTTAGAGTAAATTGAGTATTAAACTACAGTACCTGAACACCAAACTTCACCCTCCCATCATTTCATCAATGGAGAATCAACTCCATTGAAAATGGTTACCCTCCGGTGTCCTCAAACATGGGAAATCCATGGTTACCGACCTACCCAAATGAGCGACTTTAACGGGAGTTTTTCCATCTGTAAATGATGGTCATTTTCCAGCCAGCTAGGTTTGATTGCCGGAAGTTATCCCATACATTTTCCATGAAAATGTTGGATTTCCCCTTAATCTTATGAAATCCTACGGAAAATCCCAATCTTTATGGATTATAATTCCCCATTTACTTCGATGGTTCCAAATTTTTGCCGGCAACTCTTTCCTCATGATTCATCATGATTAAGCACTATCAATCATTATATTAATCACTAATTAATCACAAACTATTATCACTATTTTGCGACTTAGTCATTAATCAAAAACTATATCACTAATCACTTTCATAGGCAAGGTTAATGTTTCCCAACATTAACACATATTTTTCATATTAATATGTGTCACAATGTCCTTTCAGAATCACATCCCAGGTCTGCCTGTGCGCACCGCCATGTGCATCGCACTGAAGCCTCCCTTGGTCTTTCTCTCCTGGGCTATATGTTTTTTTCCCAGTATACAGCTTGTATAAACTACGTCTAATATACATAATATATATATATATATATATATATTGTACATATAATATAACATTTATATATATATATTATGCATATGCATATGCATATGCATATGCATATAATATAATATAATATAATATAATAATATAATATAATATAATATAATAATATAATATAATATAATATAATAATATAATATAATATACTATATTATAATATAATATAATATAATATATTATAATATAATATAATAATGTGTATATATATAATATTTTATATATATAATTTATATATTTGTATATATAAATATACATATATTTATATCCCAGCAAACATGAGATCTACCTCGCTCCCATCAGATGGATCATCCCATTTCCGGGACTTGTTTTTTTCGTGACATCGGCCCGATTGCCCGATTCCGAGGGGCGCCATATAGTTAAGCCATGTTAAGCCACTGGGGCAACAAAATATCCCGGTTGGTGGTTGACCTACCCCTCTGAAGAATATGAAAGTCAGTTGGGATGATTATCCCCCCCAAAAAAAAACAGAGGAATCCCCCAATAAACAAACACTGGTTGGTGGTTTCAACCCCTCTGAAAAATATTAGTCAATGGGAAGGATTATCCCATATATTATGGAAAATAGAAAATGTTTGAAACCACCAACAAAATATCCAACTGATACAAGTGAAATCCAACTGCAATTCCCCAATAGAAATTGTTGATATCCGAAGTTTCCCAATGATATCATAATATCCACAAGGTTTCTTCATATTTTCAATGCCCCAGTTCAGCAGCGTTCAAAACCTTTCCTCGTCCTGGTTGGTTCAGAACCCAGTATATGGATTGTGAGAATCCCCATTGAATAATCCCCCATCCTAATACTAGACTCCCGCAAATATGTTGTTTCATCCCCTACTACACCATGGGTTATTGGGCTCTGTCGAATATGAACGGGAAAGGGATTCGTACGGCCACCAAAACTCATGATCAACAAACCAGCATTTATCAGTTATATTCCTATACCAGTATTAGATGATGGTTAAACCATGTTAAAACATGTTAAAACCACCAAGGATGATGATTAAATGTCCATTAGCCTCTGGTAATGTAACATAGCTGTGGGAAATCACCATGTTTCATAGCTACATCATCGAACTACATGCGCAAGCTATAGCTGTTACTAGCTACTGTCTAGAAGAGGCTTTCCCAACTTCTTCCAGCACTGGGACGTTGGATTTTGGCTCTGCATGCCGAGCATGTTCAGATATGTTCAGATCCATATGCTACTTGAACTGGTTGTTCAGATCCGTTCCCTGCAACTCTTTCGATACTAGTAGCTATGATCACCAGAGAATACAACCGAATCAACTGAATCCACCATGATCTCCCCCTTCTCTCCCCCTTGAAAACCGCTGAATCCGCTCCGAGGTGCCAATTCGGCCCGTGCCTCCAGCAGCAGTTTCGCCATCTGCACGTGCCCATTCACTGCGGCCCAGTGCAGCGGAGTCGCGCCCTCCACCAGGGTGGCATTGTTGTGGTCCGCACCCCCCTGGCGTGGCGTTTCATGTTTCATGTTCTACCCATGAAACGGGCTGGCTGTTTGAGCAATAAAACATGGAGATCATGGAGATTTAAAATTTACAAGCAAATCATGATGTCTGCCACAGAACTCCTGGTTTTGAGCCGTTTTTGAAGTGCTGCTTTGAGGAATATTTTTTACTGGGACAAAGCCTAACACGGTTTCCCAAGTCAAGTAAAAGAGGTATCTGTGGATGGAACCAACACCCATATTACCCATATGGACTGAAGCAACCGGAATGGGAATACAAGTGACCAAAATATATAAATTCAAAATGCCGGATCAAACCTTAACAAAGATGGGGCATGAACTGCAGCAAGATAGAAATTTGACCCTCCCCGTTGCTTCGGTTGAAGCTGCACCTGCAGCAGAAAGCGTACCACCTCTAATTGACCATGCTGCACTGCCATATGCAGTGGGCTTCTACGGTCGTCTCCTCGAGCTTTGTCTATCCGCGCCCCTGCCTCTACCAAGCACTTCACCACTTCCTGAGTATGGTGAAAAATAACAAGATGAGAGTGTTTGAAAATATGGTAACCCTGAATCCAAAATGTTTAATCATCACTATCCCCCTGAAAATTGCCGTATTACACTTGATCTGTGGGCCCCTTCCCTGTCTTTCACCTCATGAAAATTGCCATTTGACAGATATACCGATATACCCCATGTTCAGGTACACCCTGGGGCAATCTGGGGAAAAAAAAACAGGTCCAGAACCAATGGTTCCCCCAAGGTGGAAACAGAAAAGGCATCAAAAAAACGCAAACAAAAGTGCGGATGCCAAAGGCCCCAATGAGAAAATTGACCATAGAACAATCTTCTCCAAAATGAGGAGAAAACCAACGGTTTGGATGCAAAATCTGGTACCATTCACCATGGGAACAACCGTTTAAAATCACCTTCAGCTTGCATCCTCCAGGTTTCCACATGGCCATATGCGGCAGCCCAGTGCAGTGGCGCTGCCCCTCCCGCCGTCAGCGGATCCCGGGCCGCCCCGGCGTTCAGCAGCAGCCGTGCGATGTCCAGGTGGCCACTGCGCGCGCAGTGGTGGAGTGGCGTCAAGCCATCCTCATCCGCCTGGTCGGGAAGAGCTTGGCGCTCCAGCAACACCCGAACAACCTCCAGATGGCCCTCACGGCTCGCAGGATGCAAGGGCGTTTCCTTGGCGGAAAAGAAACGAAGATGTGGTAATTAGAACAGAGTCCCAGATTCACCAGTTTGGATGAGATAGCAAATGTTCTTTAAATTGGGATGCTCCTTTTCATCGTTGGCAAGTCTATCACAAAATGACCCAGTTTTTTTTGGAGAACTTGAGTCCATGGGTTCCACAACTCCGGGGGGTTACCCCAAATCATCCCAAGTTCAAGTCAGCGTATTTGAGTCTTAAAACCCAATTTTATATAGCGACTTGGGTATCCCCATTTTTCCATCCAAATGGAAACAAGAAAACCTCAGCACAGCACCGGTCCTGCATGTTGCTGCTATAGTCCTTCTCGGCCCCCAGGTCCAGTAGCAAGCGCGCAGCCTCCGCACGACCGTGGCGAGCTGCCACATGCAGGGGCGAGGTGTAGACCTGGAGATCTCCACAAATGGCGTTGATCGAAACGGCCCGAAACGGCTTCAAAAACCCATTGGGCTTGATGGAACTTGCCCCCAAAATCACCACTTTTCCGAAAAAAAAAATGGTGGCCACGCAGATTTGATGTTTCCACCGCCTCTTCTGGTTCGACTTCCGCCCCAGCTTCCACGAGTAGCTGGATGCAGGCCACACTGCCGTGCCGTGCCGCTACGTGCAAGGCGGTCTTGCCAGCCAGGACCACCCGAGGATCCCGGGGGGATCGAAGAATCTGCTCCAACTCCTGGTGGCACGTGGCAAAGATTCGCTACCTGTGGGTGCCTTTTGCAACCATGGGGACCTATCATTTGTGGCATTTGTTGCGGGGAAAACATGGGAAGTCCTCCACCAATTTTTGGCGTCGTGGAGTGATTTTTTTGGGGAAAAATGGGAATTACATGGCAATCCACAGAAAAATGGTGTTTGGGTGCCACCAACTCCCGCCGTTGGCAGAGTGGAAGCTGCCAACCAGAGCTTGGGTAAGAGGAACATCCATAGAGTCACCCCATTGTTATTGCTAAGGCCAGGTAAGGTCATGAATACCCGCGTTCAGCAGCAAATGATGGCAAATCGGATGCCAATCCGAACCGTTTACTTCTCACAATTGGAAATTCTGCGCCAGAATTTCGTGTCAGTACTGAGATATGAAATATACCACAGTCCTACATCAAAATGAACAAAGTGCCACCAAAAAACGATTGGCTCTCCTTGAATTATGGCAAATCTTCACTATCTGTGTTTAAATGAAAGCCATTCAGATTCAAGGTGGAGTTATCATGAGGTATCCAAAGAATCTGAAAGTTGAGCATATCTTGCTGAAAAAATCCCCATACACTTGACTTGACCTGTCAGAGTATGCAAGCAACATCTTGGAAATAAATCCCACACATTTCGTGATCGCTTGAGTCTGATTTCAATGGGGAAGATGACGACGAACCAAACTAGGAGCTTTTTTTGCTCTTCCCCAAAATTTTCACACAAACTCAGATCCTCCGGTTGATCTTGTTCGCAGGCAGTAAAGAGTTTCTTGTCTTCAGCAGCATCTGCAGGAGGATACGCTAAGAGCACCAGCTGCAGCGACCGGGGCTCCAACGAATCCTCATCCAAACATTCGCCTCAGCCCCAGAATTTCACCAATGGAAAGCCAAGAAAATGGGGATCTAAAAAATTGAAAGAGAAACGGTGCTAAGTTCTAGGCACACAATGGCACACATTTCCAGCATTTAACTTCGACCATTTTTTTTTCACGTCAGAGAAATTTGGTTTCACGAAAGATTCGGCTTTTGTTGACATTAATCTTGGAGTTTAAGTATCATCCCCACCATTAAAAAAAAACATGTAGAAAAATATGTTTAAAAAATCCTCTCCCTCGTCCCGTTCCTGGTTACCTCGAAAAACCTCGTCCCGGCTTGCGCCGGGTCGCTCTGATCTTCCCGAAACAAGCGCTGCTGAAAGACCGTGAAGTTGGTCTTCGGCACAAGGAAGCGCTTGAGATCCCTCAAACGTTGCGCTTGAGATCGCCCATGGAGCGGTAGAACTTGGGGGCAGGTCACTTCCTAAAAGGGGGAGTTAAGCATTAACTAACAGGGAATGCCATTGGGACATCTCCATGAATCTAACTGTTCATTGTTTCATCTTTTTTTCATATGATGAACCATATGAAACTCTTATCACTGTCTTAACCCCCTAATCTAACCCATTCATCCCACTGGTTTTTGTTTCCTAGGCATTTTCTGTTGTAAGCCACGAATTCATCTAACCATATCTAACCCATATCTCCAACAGGTTGTTCTTTCTCACATGCTAGCATTTAATCTCTCAGTTTTAGAAAAAAATAAAATCATGGCGGGATTCACTGGATTTATGGCTGTTGATACTACAGTACCTATATCAATGGATTGGCAGGAAAATCTACAGGAAACCGTGGATGGGAACCCATTCAAGGTCAAAAAATATGGCTAGTCCCGTAGATTTTCCAACCAATCCATTGAGTTCGTCACCATGTGGTGCTGAATTCGTCACCGCTTTCGATCCCAGCATCCGAATCGACGATAAAACTTGGACCTCCTCCAATGCCAGCTCCACCAGCACTTCGCCCGACAAGGCCGAAAGGATCCGCAACATGGCGACGCCCGATCTAAACAAAGCTGGGGATTTTTACCATGGGAATTTTTGTTTGGGGAAGATCACACAATCAAACGCGGCTGGAAAATCCTCTATCATGGAGGTTGACTACAGTAACCCCCCCTAACAAAAAAAGTTTTTTTTTAGTCGGACACCTGATGAATTCAAGGGGAAAATCCGTGTTTCCAGTATGGTAGAGATGACCCTCAAACAGATGCCGAAAATGTCCGTCCTGGTTTCATAGTCTTTTTGGTTGCTATCCAAGGTTGAAACCCAACCATCTAAAATGGGGATATCATGGGGAAATGAATATGTTCTAGGGGTTAAGAAGGGATCTAACTAACGAGAAGGGTGGTATAAATATTATTAAATTGAAAAAAATGTGTGAACCAATGTTCTAGGAAATTCACCAATGATGTCTGATGATGATGTTTTTATGGAAAAGTTCATGCAGAAATGATGACATTGTTTCTTTGTTCTCCGGTCCAGACAGATTCAGTCGCGCGGGGTGTTGCTTACACCTCCTCTGGCAATCTGACATAACCATCAAAATCCACCATTTTTTATAGGTATTTACGGAAAAATCATCATTTCATTATATATGTATATATATATATATATTGTAATCCCATGAAAATTCCCCACAAAAATGTGGTTCAATGTTAATTCCATTAACTCCGATTAGCCTCTGAGAGTCTAATTCTAGCAATGGGAAATGACCCATTTAATTTGATGATTTACCTATTAGAAATGGTTAAATGACCAGAGGGTCTATCAATCACTATTTGGAGTACCACAAACCACTTTTTAACCCCTATTAATCGCTATTGATCACCACTCATCACTATTCATCACTATTAATCACTATTACCAGGGGGTATCCCCATGGCAGCATAATTGTGGATGTCAACCATTCTTGACTTCGTATAACTTCTCGTTGGTTATCACTCTATCAATGCCACACCGTCCCGAATTGGGTTTAAATTGGGATAAATTGGGTGTGGGTAAAACAATCATAAACCATCCCCCAGATCACCATTTTTATAGCTGCTATCTATCAACAGCCGTTTTCAATTTTGGGACATTTCAAGTTGGCAAATTTTTGATTTTCAATTGATCGCCTTTAGAAAGTTACACCGGCATAGACCCCCATAGAAATGGCATTGTTTGCCCCACCATGGCAACGTCTCAACGCCACATCCCCCGGTTGGACTCTCCGTTGGGACCCCGGGCCATTCACCCAGGAAGGACGTGGCGAGAGCCGCGGCGTCTTCTTTGGCAGGCGAGGCTGAGCACGAGACGCAACGCGTCTAAGGAAACAACCAAAAAGTCACATTGAACCAACAGAGATACCGCTTTAACCATGAAAAATGGTGGTTTAAACATGTCTAACCATGAAAAATGGTGGTTTAACCAACAAAAATCGAGGTTTGACAAACATCCATTGAGGTTTAATCAAAAAAAAATTGGACTTCCAGCCCCTGAATTTCACGTGAAACCCAACGTTTAGTCCATATCCAGTCGTAAAATATGATGAAACCATCTAACTTGGCTTACTTGGCTTGGTTAAAAAATAATGGAACAGAAATATTGAAGTCAAAATTGGATGTACCCATTGCCGTCAGGGGGTAACTCAAATGACCCTGAAGATGCCCACATCTGTGCGTCAAAAGCGACCCCGAAAAAGATGCCGAAAAGTGAAATTGATCAATTTGGAAATGATCTTACTAAACTCTATCTTTTTGGACGTTGCAGAACATATAAGGAATCTATCCGGATTTTCATGTTTTACTTATAGTCCGCCACACCAAACCTTACTCCGCCGCGTAAATCATCATCCAGGTCACAGTCTTTCCGCGCGGAGTTGGTGGTGCCTGACATATTTGCAATGCCAACCTGTCAAAATGTACCGTGTCAATATAATATAATATAATATAATATAACATAATATAATATAATATAATATAACATAATATAGTATGATATAATATAATACAATATAATATGATATCATGCAATACAATATAATATAATATAATATAATATAATGTATTATAACATAATATAATATAATAGAATAGAATAGAATATAAATTAATATACTATTTTTAAATATAATAAAATATATCATAATATAATATAATATAATATAATATAATATAATGTTGTATAATATAAAATAGTATAATAGAAGAGAATAGAATAGAATAGATTAGATTAGATTTTAACATAATATAATATAATATAGTATAGTATATTATAGTATAATATATAAGATAATATAACGTAATGTAATATATTATAATATAACTATATCATGTTATTCTATTACACTATATTATATTATAATATTCTATGATCCTTGGCACGTTATTTAAAATATGTATAAGTTGGTTTAAAAGCCCCGAAAAAATACTATGGTTCGAAATTACCAGCACCAGCGTGGTGTTTTGACCGCAGGTGACTTCAGGGTGAGTACTTTTCAACTTTTTCAACTGGCTGCTTGGGAACTGGCTTCCCCTGGTGGAATATGGTAATCCAAAATGTATTGGATAGCATGATCCCCATCAACTCCACAGGCTTCGTCTTGAACACTTACTATGTCATCTTTCCCATCTTCCTGGTGAACTGTTCAATGAGGATCATCAATGGTTAGCGTCTCCAAAACAAAATACTGGGTATCACCTCCCACATTATGCTGCTCGTTTACATTTTAAATATGTCATATATATATATATGGGTATAGTCTATAGTCCATTCAAGAGTTCTTTACAGTGTTTCACGTGTTTTATATCACATAAGGAACTTCAGACCTTTGGGTTTGTGGGGGATTAGGGTTAGGTGTGGGGTTGGGGGGCGTTAGGGTTGTGCGTATGTATGTCAGCATATGGGTTGGAACTCTTGAATGATCGCTATATATATATACACACATATACACACACCGTTTTGCGGCTTTCCATGCTTTATGGTTCAATCTTATGTTCATCTTAGCCTCTTTTCTTGGTGCTGAATCCTGCAATCCGATGGCTATAACTGTCACCTTGCCATCTGACTTGGTGCTGGCAACCGCAGCCAAAGGTCGCCTGAAGAGGGGTTCATTTTCGGTGACCGGATGGAAACTTCGGGTGTTTGAAACTGGATGGAAAGGTGCTAACCGGAAGACTTTTGTTCGTAGATTTGTTCACTAACCTGGTTGGTGGTATACCTACCCCTCTGAAAAATGATGGAGTGAAAGTCAGTTGGGATGATTACATTCCCAACCGAATGGAAAAATAAAATTCATGTTCCAAACCACCAACCAGTAATGTGTGCATCTTTTTGGGGTGCTACAGTAAGTTGCTAATATAGAAACAAATGCGGCAGAACATGTTGGTTCGTCCTCTAGATTTTCCATAAAATCGACCTAGTGACCTAGTGACCTGTGGCTAATGTAGTTCCCATGCTGATTGGCAAATTTCTCAGGATTACTACCTTATTGCCCTTTTGAGTACTCATTCGAGAATTGGATACTTGGTCTAAAAAAATGTTGTGGATTGATAAATCACCCATGACTGTTGGTTGATGCCCCCTTGATACCCGGAGGATCATCAACATCACCACCACCAGCATTATTCTCCGCCCATCAACATTCATCGCCATTAATCAGCATTTGTCACCATTCGTCACCATGAAAAAAATCCTGATCCTCATCCTGTCATCAAGTATCTCCCATCACCGTACGCAGTACCCGCCTGTCTGGGACATTGCCCATCAAAGACCCTGCAGAGCCTCACGTTGAACCCCGGCGTTGGGTATTCCAATCACCTTTTCTAAGAGCGGAATCGACTCTTGTTCTCGTTTGTTCACCATGACTTCCATGACTTTTGGAGGGGAAAGCACTTTATCTTTCAATGGGTATATGTCATAAATATATATATATATATATGTTGTTTCTGATGCTTTCTGTGATATATCGCTTGCGTGACCATGCCAGGCTTCTGCCAGGACCATGCCAGGCTTCTGCCAGGACCATGCCAGTCCCATTTTAAGACACCCTCCAAATGATCCTTGATGTACCCTCTGGTAAACTAACAGTTTGCTATTGAAAATGGTCATAGAAATAGTGGATTTACCCATTAATAGCATGGTGATTTTCCATGGTTTTTTGTATGTTTACCAGAGGGTAAATGATTGGAAACTGGAGTATTTTTGTTGTCACACCGAGTGAGAAAGGAGTTCAATCCAGATACTCTTTCGAATTTTCGAAACGTCAGGGATCATCCCCATGTCAGCGATGAACAACAAAAAAAAATATGTTCTCATTATCCATTCATGTGGGGATGGTTCAAAACCCTGGTACCTAGTGAACCCCAAAATAGCTGGTAAATGGATGTTCATCCCACTAAAAATGTATCTATAGGTATTGACCCATACCCATGTGTATCCCCATGACTATGGAAACGCCCATAGTAATGCTCAACAGCATAACTTTCAGCACTTGGCCAATGGTAATTGCCCAATATTCCGCAATGTCAACCCTGGAATCGTGTTGACCGCAGGGTGAATAACGCCAAGATGCGCCAAGGTTGACTTGACATATGGGAGATGATGAGGTTTTTCGCATCATGTGGGTCTGTCTGACAATCGCTGGTTGGTGGTTTTAACCATCTTGAAAAATATTAGTCAATGGGAAGGATTATCCCATATAATCATTATGGAAAATAGGAAATGTTTGAAACCACCAATCAGATCGAGTTTATACCAAACTCCCATGGTTCAAATCCTTCTCAAATCCTCCTTGGTTTCATCGCAACGGCCATGTTGGGTCCCTGGGGTTCCACACGCACCGCATGCGGCTGCTCCTTCGAAACAGCCCGGGGCCCCAGGAATCCGGCACGTGCTTCATAATCTTCATAATCCATGTACCCATCCACATATAGAGGATATTCCACATATATATTCCACATATATGTGTCTAATAATCATGTGAATCAGGTACATAATATGTTCATATAATGTATCTGGGCTTCTCGCCATGCGCCATTTTTCCCAACAAAAATGCACGAAATAGCCCCCAGAGCTGGTCCGATCTTAAAAAAACTCATGGCTCCAGGCTGAAACCCTCAAGGCTGGTCGCAGCAGGTCCCCTGTTTCGGACCCCAGTGCCTTCAGAGATCGGTCTGCGATCTGCGAGACGTTTTGGAGATGGTAGTCTTGAGTGGGATCAGCATTCCGATCACACTGATTTATGGGGATTGGATAGTGATTTATTGTGACTTTTATGGTGATTTTATGGTGATTTTATGCTGAAGCTTACTATGATTTATAGTGATTCTATTGGAAGGAATGGTGTTTCTATGCGGATTTATTTATGGTGATTTGATGGTGATTTAATGTGGTTCATTTTGATTCTATTATGTTCATTGTATGGTGCTTCATGGTTGTATTTATGTTTAGTTTACTGGGGTTGATGAGGGATCTAACCGACAAAAATTAGATGTAAAATTAAGCATAGTTACTTGGGATATGGTTAAACTGAACAATGTGATTCACAAACCATCCTAACTGTGGTTTATCCTGAATCTGTATAACAATCTAAGCGGTCGAAAACATGAGTGCAATGCGGATAGGTGTATGTGTATATATATATATATATACATGTACGTACATATGGATGTGTATGTATATATATACATAATTATACATACATACATATATATATACATGTAATTATGTATGTATATACAGTACATATGTATATGGATTTATATGGATATTATATTTATATAATATATATATATATTGGATATGATATAATGAGGATATAATGGGGATGTGATGGAGATATTATGGTGGTAGTCTGGATATAATTGGGATATAACTTTACGGGAATACATAACGAACACTATGATATTGGGATGGAATTTCTAGGGTTTGTCTGAAAATAGTGGGTAAAACCCTAGATCCACTGATGAATCATAATCTTGTCCTATGAATGTGACAAATGCCGGGTAGGGCCCCATTTTCAGACACACACACACACGCTTGAAAATGTGTAAAATCGTAACAAATTGGAGAATGTTGGATATTCCAAAGTGGTTCCAAAGATTCTTCAAAACAATCAATCGGAAAGATCTCCCCATTCATCGTGGTTTTGTCAATGTTCTAGAGTCTATAGAGTCACGCATCTTTGCGTAGAATCATATACCGGTGGTGTGCAATCAGAAAATGGTGGAGCGCCTCGGCCACCAGTGGCGTAGTGGCACCCCCCAAGGGAGGAGACCCAATCCTGAGGCCGTGAAAAATTCCAGGTTCACCCGGAAAAACAAATGTGATTTAAGTGAATTAGAGTTCACCAACAATAATCTGGATTCAGCCCGTAAAAATGGCGTTGCACAACCGAAAGAACGTGGCGTTTAACCACCAAAGATTGCGATCAAAAAATGAATTTACCATGATTTACCGGCCCAATATGGGGAGTGGAGTTGAAAACATCAACAACATTGCGATTTGGCCATTGAGCCTACTGACAATCTGGCAACCTCGTGGGATACTTGATATTTGGGCAATTTACGTATCTGAAATCACCAAAATCACCAAAAAACAAAGTATTATCTACAAAATGTGCTCTGTGTGCTCCATATATATAGTGGGTACCTTCTGGTAATCAAATATGGCAATGGAACGTCACCCATGATTTTCATTGATTTTCCATAATATAATGTAACAGCTCAAACCAACTAATGGTACCACGTCCTACAGGGTTGCTCCCACCCCACCACTTGGCACAGTGTGGCAAATCAAAATCTAAAATCCGAATATTTTTTCTTCCTGTCCAGAAATTGCCCAAGAATTTCGCAGCAATTTTCACATGTTCTGAATCCTGGGGAATCTAAAATCCCCAAGGGAAAATCCTCAGGTCCCGGGCGGAGAGACAAGGACATTGCGCGCAGGTACGCGATGTTGGCCTTAGGGCTGGATTTTTGAAGATCTTTGTCTGGTACGAGATTTACCAGTATGGTTTGACATAGAAAACTGGAAAATCACCATGTTTTATAGGATGTCATAGGTAAATCATCATTTCAATCACCTATATAGCCTATAAATGGGCTATCTATACCATAGCTATGCTGAATAACCAAAGGGTTTTAAAAAAGAATGGAATTCTGGGTCAAAAACATCCCTTAAGAGTTTAGAAGATGTTTAAGATATGTTTGAATTATGGGATACAGATCACTATCGATGGACCAACAAAAAATGGGGGGGAGTCCAAACAGATTCAACTTGAGGCCTGCAATCTAGACCCACACAGGAATGAAATTCAACGTACACCAAGAATGAGCATGATATGTTCAAGTCACCAAAATCATCGCAATGAGAAAACTTGCAGTATCACATTACAATTCCCTGATGGTTGCTGGGTCCCATACGTACTCAAAAATCCGCCCACATGAGCAGGTCCTATATGTAGCAGGTCTGGGGCTTTGCCTAAATATGATTCCCATGGAGTTGGCATGATTTCCATTAGTTCCCAATATTAAACCAGCATTTGGGCAAAAGACAGGTACAACAGCGAACCCCTTTCCATCCTGGTTTGCCATCACTTTTTCAATCAAAACTGCAATTTTTGTAGGTTTTAAACTGTTAAAACTGCTATAAATGGGGGGTACCTTGTGCTAATCAAACATGGCTTGCCCAAAAATCCACCATGGCTTTCCCGATTGGGCTTCCCTGCTGGGAGGGCTATGCGACCCGGGCCCCACGCCGTGCCCCTGAAGTGGAACTGCTGAGTAAAATGTGAAAAAAGAGGGGAAACTTCACCATTGGGTTCAATGATTTGTCCATAACATAAAATCTCCATTTACTGGGGACTTCTTAGCTAGCCGCTGCTAGCCATGTTTGATGACACTAAAGGGTATTAAGAATATCTGGATCTCGTTGATCACAAGAAAAGGAGAGGAATGTCAAAGCCTGGTGCCATGCCGACGTTCGCTGGTTCTTCAAGCATATTTGTGTGGCAAGAAAGAACAACTCCATCGCTTGTTTTGCATGGCTTGGTCTGAACATAGGCTACGTTGATGATCATCTGCCCCATTCGAATTGCCATAAAAAAAGGTGCAAATCCCTCATGTTCAACAAAACACAGCCCATATTGTTGATTTCATCCCCATGGAATCCGATAATATCCCAATGAAGCGGTGGTTTTTGCCAACACGCCCATCTGGAGAAGGACAGCTGGACTGACATCCTTATGTATACATATAGTCCTGGAGTAAACAAAAAAAACATCGCTGAAATGGAAACAATCTACTCCAGGATGTCAGGCTGGCTCTCTCTCTCTCTCTATATATATACACATGTATAATGCCCATGAAAATGGCAAAAGATGTGGTACGAAACTACCCAACTCCTGTTCGCGAATTAGTCACCTGGCCACTCTTGCGCTTCGGCGCGGCCCGAACACCTCGCAGCGGCTGGAGCATCAGAAGCCCTTGCGGCTTACTATATTATATTACTATCTTGGCTATTACTATATACTATATATTGGGTATTACTATACCATATGGTTCCATACTGGATATTACTATATTGGATATGATTTTTCAGCATCCAAAAGTGGAGATTGAACCATCCGAAAACGATGGATTTCACCTAACAAACATATAACTTTCGATGGATTGAACCCCACCGCCCCACCTTGACTCATGGCGCACCTGACAACAGCGCTGGCACCGACCAAAAACTGGAAGCCATGCAATGCATGGCGAATCTTAGATACATAAAGGATACCCGGCAAAACAACCATCTTGAGATGGATAGTATTAGTTTATATGTCTACTAGACATATAAACTAATACTACCCAGCTTCAAAAATGTCTATCGAAAAAAGGAAATTTGCCCAAGTCCCAACCCATCGCCAGTCCCCGCCTAAAGTGTTTTTCGAAGCAACTCCAGCATGGGCTAAGGCACCCAAAAATTTAGCGCAGCTGTTTCTCTGACTTCGGAGGCTGAGTGACTTGGTGTTGTGATTTACAGCACGAAAAACACTCCCAAGAATGGATGCTTTGCCGTAAAAAGGCTAAAAGCTGTGTGTTGGGAAACACGCCTATATATAATCATATGTAGCTATATAAGCAGTGCTCACTTTTCGCAATCTTGCTAGGAGTCTCCATGATCCGCAGCACCAGCCGTCTTAGGCTGAAAAGTGCTATGAAAATGCATCTCTTCCCCAATCTCCTCGACTCGCTGAGCCTTCATGAGGTAATACCATGCAGAAGGTGGGACTGCCCAATCGAGATAATGAAGAACCAAGGTCAGCACACTTTCGAAACGCTGGGCAAAACACAGGATCTTCTCTCGTTGATTCGGCAGAATCTTCTGCAGGAAAGTGGCAACAGCAACTTCTTGTAAATAAATCTCCATGACTTTATTGCTGAGCCAGCGCCCCCTTCTACGTACCAGTTCTGAGTTCTCGGTGACGTCCAACATCCAAGATGCACCACCGGGACGCAGCGATCCTAAGTCGAAGGGGCGCTGACCATCCACCTTCTGAGTAGGAAGGTCCAGAGTCTTCAAAAGCACGGAGAAACGGCTCCTCAAAGTTGCGGCTGAACGTGGCCACAACTTTACATCCCTGTCTGCTTTTCCATACGTGGCAATCAGGAGTTTCACTATGTCCTCCTGATCAACCCTGGCTGCTTGATGGCGGGCCGCACGTCCTCGAGTTTTTGGGTCTGAAATTCTGAGGAGTACGTAGGCATTTCCAGGAGCTGTATCTTGAGGAAGAACCAAATCTCGGCGAAATGCTTGGAGCACTTCACCTATCCGCAAAACTCCCACCCAGGTCAGACCTAGGACACAAGCTTCATAGATCCATCCCCAAGATAAGGCTACTGTCATCATAGCCAGAAGAACTGAAACTGGAAGCGCTGGATGATGTTGATGCGGTTCATCTGACAGCCATGAGAAAGCGTAGTCCCACGCCGGAGTCAGCTGTTTTCGAAGAAGCGGTTTCAACATCGCTATGCAGTTCACAGTTTCAGAAAATTGGTTATAAGATTTTCCAGCAGCATACATCTCCCGCCCGTAACAGACCAGCCAATGCGAAATCAACTCCGCGTCAGGGGGCCTCTGTTTCATCAAACTTGCAAGGGAAACCCTGTGGTTTTTCCAAAGCCAAGCCCTGAAATTTGCAAAGAGCTGCATGCGCCTGTTCCTTGTCTCCTTTCTCAAAAGCCTGTCAGCTGGGAGTTCAAGCGGTCTGCGGGATGCCGCTCGGGCTCTTTCAGCTTCACTCTGAGGTGCCATGGCTCCATACGCCCCATACGCCCCAAATCCACGCGACCCGAAGGGCAATCCCTGAACAGTTAGAAAAAGGATCTTAAGGGGATGTTTGCCAACCAAGCGCAAAGCAGGGACGGTGACAAGGCCAAGAGTCTCTGGGAAAAGTCCAGCAGAGAAAACAAGACCGGTGACACCCAGGAGCCAAAATCCAAAGCAGCAGAGAGACATGGAGGCGCCGAGGCAAAGTCCAAGACCAAGCACACTCGAGTCGGATAAAGTGCCAGCCCAGACACGGAGGAACCAAATCCATTGGGAAACAGCCCAGCGACAGAGCGCAGACGTACGGTAGAGCCAACAGACAATGAAAGTCCAAACAGCAACGCACGAAATCAAATAGACAGAGAGAAACCGAGGAGCCGAGGAGATTTCAGGACAGAGAAAAAGTCCATTCTGCTGTGCTTCCTTTGCTGATGAAGGGCAAACAATGAGGGCCAACACCACAAGCCTGATCCAATTTGCCGCAAAACGCTTGAGCCCAGTTCCGTGGAGGGAGACAAGGGAACCAAAATCCAAGAAGTCCACAATTGAGGCTAAAGTCGAAACCCCCCGAGTCTCTACTCCACGGGAACCATCATCTGCGCAGTTCAGTCGCGTCGGGCAGAAAGTCCAAGCCGGGAAAAGTCCAAAAGCCAATTGAACTGCGCAAGCCCGTTTCAGACTGGGCTGAAGGGAGAACGAACTGCTGCGACCTTTTGACAAAGCACCACGGGCAACCTGGGAATCAACTACAAGAGGAACTCTGGTGTCAGGCTCGCGAGAGGCAGCAAGGCTGAGAGCGGCAACGGAAGAAAAACTCTCAAGGACATTGATATGGGATCGAGTCTTCTTCCAAGTCCAAGCTTTCTCAAGATCCCATTTCTTGGCAATCATCAAGTCATTCACTACCAAGCTCTCAAGACCAAGCACCTCAACCTCGTCATTTTCCAAACGTCGGACCCTCAAAACAGCACGTCGCACAGCTTTTGCAAGGTAAAGTCCAAGCTCAGGGTGGTAGGTGGCAGAACCCTTCGTCCATTTTCCTTCAATTTTCACATGAGAATGGCCGCCAGGACACTTTGCCTCAATGCAGTCGAACAAATAAAGAAGGAAATCAAACTCCTTTTTGTGGATGCTCCCAAACTGACATGAGGCTACTATATTGTCCCTAAAACCAAGTCGCCGAAGAGTCTCCCAAAAATGAGTCCACATCATCTTTGAGCGACGTGGTTGTTCACAGCCACAGGGTCTTTTATACCGCCGACCAACCTTCAAGAGGACAAAAGTTCTGAAAGCCAACGTGTTGCCATGCAGAGTCTTTTCCTCCTTCCGATCAAAACCAAGAGGCTGCGTGTAACTTCTAACACTGGGGCAGGCAGCCGCTGAAAAACTTGTACAAGGGGGTTCAATCAGAAAGGAGGCAAAAAGTCCATCCTCAATCATGTAAATTACCCACTCAAGGAAGCGCAAACCACGCAAGTCATAATGGGCACTTTCACTAATGTCGAGGCAAGGAGCAGTGACAAGTCCAAGGTTGCTCGCATGTTTCGAAATGACACCGGCTCCCCCACAAATTTCAACAAAATCAAACTTCATCAATGGCGCCTTAAAAGGCCCTCCTTCAGCATTCACAGCAATCTCCTCAAAAGAGTCATCTGGAAGCTCTATCTCGTGGACGAGCTTCTTCAAAATAGCTCTGGCAGAGGATTCAAGTCTGGTGTAACTCCCCTTTTTATCAGAGGCATGCCAAAGAGAACGCACAACCGAAGGTTCACAAGGCAAGGACACCACAGCACCACCTTCACCTGACGCATCAGAGGCGTACACGCAAGAAGCATAGGCTGCACCAACATTTGCGCTCATCATGGGAACCAGGGCAGACAAAAGGCACAGTTCTTGGGCACACGCTCTCTTCAGAGGCACAACTTTCGGAGCGCCAGGAAGTTCAAGGCCAGCACTGACTCCGAAAAACTCATCCACAATCGAAGTCAGACACCTTCTATAGAGAAGTGAAGACACCCAGTTTCCAGAAAGTCTAGCAGCAAGCCGAGGAGTGATGACTGGAAGCCGGGCCGCACGCAATGACAAGGCTGACAAGGCAAAACGTTTCGCAAAAGGACTGCTGACAAGACAAAGCTTCTGACGCAAAGTGGTCTCGCGAGAGTCAACCTCAGCCCCAGCTGCCTTGAAGAAAACTTCAGCTTCAACATCCTTCTCCGGTGAGCCCTCAAGCCGGTGTTTTTCATAGGCAAGCCGAGCTTCGGCAAGAGCTTTATAAGCAAAAGACTTCTCCCTAGGCAAACTTCTTTTCTCAGCTCCTATGGCAAAGAAGTCATCAATGATCAAACCGGTCCAGCGAGGACCTGGTGGAACTGGGTGGTGACCAAGGAGGCGTTCCTCATTCTTCAACACGCCTTCATGCAAAAGCAAACCTTCATGTCCCGCCAAAGCAAACTCAACTCCGAGGTGATCACCTTGAAACAAACTCTGAAAGGCAGGGAAGACTTCGTCCGAGCCAAATGAATTAAAGGATTCATTGCATACAGCAAGGTAATCACCCCCTTCAAAGCGCGACTTTCGGCGAGAGGACTCCAGGTTCTTCTTTTTGTGATAGTCCTCAAAGGCAGCGCAGCCATGAAACTCAGAAATGGGAAAAGGAACAGAAAGGCAATTTGACTTTGCTCTGGCATCAGTGACTTTGCTCTGGTGATAGAAATCTCGGCGGTCGGTCACTGAGCCCCGAAGGGTATCGTGCTTTACATCCACATGCAATTCTGCCAAAAGATGCCCTGGTGGCAAATGTTTGCTGGGGCCAGCGACATGATACTCCATTGCATTAGGGAGCCTCCTATCACCGATCTGACGGTCTCGGTGTGCATCTTTGTAGACCTGAAAAACACGGCTGTAAGCACCCGGGCAACAAGGAGCATCAAACAAAGCCAAAAGCCCATTCACATCCCAAAGCTTTGCAAGTTTCAAGTTCGCTTCAGGGTTCTCATTCTCAAAATTGGGCACAACAGCACCAGACAAGTCACCACCATGCCGAAGAAAAGCCGGTTCAACAAAAGGCAGCCACAACACGCCATGTATGAACTCCTGCATATCCCAGTGGCCTCTTCCAGAAAGTTTCAACCGATCAGGGTCTAAAGGTCTGAAAGGAACAAGCTGGGGAAAGTCATCGGCAGGAAGAAGGCTGGAATCTTCGACATAAAGCTCAGAGGAAGCGGCCCTGCGATAGGAATCTTTGAACTCAGAGCACTTCTCAACAAAGCTTTCCAAATGCATCAAACTTGCAGCTAATTGAGGACCGGACCGACCAGGGGCAAGAGGGAACAGCTCCCGAGTCGATCCACACACAGCAATGAACGAGCGGAGCCTCGTAAAGATCTGGCATTGGATCTCATTTGGCCGCCTCCCAAGCTCATCATTTGACGGAAACCTCCCAAGGTACAAATAGTTCAAACACATCACAATGACATGCAGGACCCTAGCTTTGCACAAAATGAGAAGCTTTTTCATTGAGAGCCCGGGGCCACCACCGGCAAAAATTCCACATTTTGGCACCGGCAGTGGGAATGCTGTGGTTGACATGGGTGCATCACCATGTCGCAAGACACGAAAACTCTTACATAGAAACCATCCAAACTTGGTTTTTGAAGCAAGGATCCACCTGGGAAGGCAAACGGCCCAATGCAAAAAATCCAAGCTGGAAGTCAAGGCATGGGGTTTTGGGAGATCGGATGCAGAGGCAGCTTTGGCTAAACCTCCTCTTGCTCTTCGGCTAGGGGAGCTGCTGCACCTTTTCCCCTCCCCTTTTTCTTGGGACCTGGTTTTGGTTTTGGGCCAGGTTGGCTTGAAACAGGGCTTGCTTTCGCAGGAGCTGCTCCGGCGATTTCGTTCCGTTTTGCTGCTATCGTGTCCATCTCTTTCAGGTACGCGATGGCTACAGTGATCCACCGCTGGTCCGCCAGAGGAGAAAAGCTTTTGTTTCTGGCCAAGACACCTGCGTTTCGGTTCTGGAAAATTCCGGCTGGCAAATCGTCCTGAAGGCACAGAACGCTGGCCAGGTCCATCTTTCCGTTGTCCATCACCATTTGCTCTATGGTTACTGCCAAAAGAGCTGTGTGATCCCTGGCAGCGGCTAGGTTTTCCATCTGAAGAAAGTCCAGAATCTGCATCACCTGATATTGCAACTGACCTAGCTCCCTGTGGCGAGAGTAGCCCCCGAAACGTTCTAGGTACTTTGTCCCACAAACGCCCAATTCCATGAGGCGCTGTGGAGAAGCATCCGGGACCATTGTTGGATTCATCCTTCTGGCCATCGATGACATCATAGAGGCGAAGAATTGGCCTCTCTGGCTTGCCAATTCCATCTGAAGCTTTGCACGCCCTAGAGAGCCCCGGGTACCAGAAGAGGAAGTTCCGTTCAAATCCACAAGGGGGTCTGCATGACTGCTTGCTATCTGAGACACCAGCGAAGTCAAAGCCTGGGATTGAGCATACACTGCCTTTGCCAAATGGGCATCGCTTGGAAGGTCTGGTGACAAAGGCTTGTCCATTTCCAAGGCTCTCAACTCCGGGGGCTGAGTCAGCGCAGGGGAACGCAACAAACCAGGGTTCGGAGCAGCTGCTGTCCGAGGAGGAGATGGAAGGCCCGGAGTCAAACCCAAAGGCACCGAAGGGACACCTGCCACCGAGTGAGAAAGAGGTCGACGGAGTACAGGGCACGCAGCTGAAACAGGTGCTTGGATCTGGCTCTCCAGGTTCTTGGTTTTCAAGGCAAGATCTTGAACTTGACTGGAAAGAGATGGAACTATCTCTAACAAACGATCCAAGGACACAGCTAGGTTTGCAGTAGTCACCTTCTTTGGCTTCTTTGGCTTCTCTGGCTTTCCTCCTGGCACGCCTCCAACGCCAGGCGCTTGTGGAGTGTCTGGCTTGGCAAAAGTTTTTGGCTTTGCTGATCTCTTTGCCCTCGCCGGGGTTCGTGGACCTGCAGAGCCGGGAGTGGCTGACCCCTGAACAGTAGGACTTTGGGCACCATCTGGCTCTAGGATTGCGGCTAGATCCGGATCTAACCCCTCTGGTGGCTCCTCTGCTGAGTAAAACCCAAGAAGACCTTGAGGACCTGAATCTTCTATCCACTCTGCGGCAACCTGTTGAAGAACACCCGGGTCTGGAAGAGAAAAGGGAGAGTCCAGATCGAATCCATAGGCAATCTCTTCGAACGCACGGGGAAGACGCAACAAGGGCAACACCTCGGAACTGCAGTCCACCACAACAACTTTCACTGCACCTCCAGTAGCATGAACCTTTCCTCCATCCATGATAACCGCTGGAACCTCTGCTTCGGTGGAAGGACCTAAGATTCCTGTACCAACCCTTCCCAAGTCCAAATCCCTTTGAGGCAAAACCTGAGCAGGAACGGCCAGCAAAAGCCCACCCTGGCGTTTTAAGACCACAAGTCCATAAACCTCCAGTGAGCCGTCCTCGCCATCCGGAGCATGTGTGGGCCATGTCAACACGTAGGGTTCCAAGTCCACGTCCACAGAGACAAGAGAATCCAGAGACAACATGCCTTCGGTTTCCAAAGCCATCTAAATCAAGGTCGGACTTCAATGCTCGAGTGGAAGCCGGCTGCTTCCAAGTAGATCCGAGCCTCCAGCTCTGAGGGGAATGCCTGTGACACACTGGAGCTTTCCACCAAGTTTCCGACTGCCCTGAAGTAAGAGCCTGAGCTCTTGAAGATGGTGGGATGAAGAAGGCCGTCTGCCTTTGCCACAGCGTAGAACCTGGACCGAATCTCCAGAGGAGGAGTACGGTTAGGAGAACCAATCCTCTCTGCAAGAACAGCACGAGCCCACTGTCCAGCTTCCCAGGCACGACGGATCCTTCCTTCCGCACTGCTAACTGGACCCGACAACTTCGACGCAGAGTCAAGCAGGCGACCAGGACAAGGCACAAAACCGGCAGCAATGGCGTCACGAGACTCAAAGCGAGGGGGCACAGAAACAACAGGGTCACCAACGACACTACCAACCCGCTCAAAAGAACCAAGGGTAGGACTCGGCGAGGCCGGACGGCCAGCAAGGGATCCTGAAGTGACAGAGGCCAGGAATCTCGAAGCTTTGCGGGGAGAGCCACGAACAGTGATATCAAGGCCGTCGTAGCTGAAGGAGAGCTCAATTGTTTCGCCGTCGTGGGAACCTCGGCTCATCCAAGTACTGAGACAGGCGAGCCCACCTCAGTAGCACCGGATCGGGAACAGTGGCAGGACGAGGCGCACAAGGAGTGGCCGGCAAAAGTCCAAGATGGCCAAGGGCAAACCAACCAAGGTAGACAGAGAACAAGACACCCAAACCAAAACCAAAACAGACACAGAAAAGCAGCAGACCAACAGCAGGCTGGGTACAGTAAACCGGACAAGCCAAACCAAAGAAATTCGAGTGAACAGCTTGGAAGGCAAACTGAACCCACGACCCAAAATTAGACATCAGGTGCTTGAGCAGCAAGAACGAATCGATCACCTGCTTACAAGACAATTCTGTACATTACATACATACATATAAATATATATATATACTCTATACATACACACGAGATCAAGTAGGCCCCAGATGGACAAAATATGGCAAAGGCTGGACGCCTCTCTCGACCCATGTGCAAACACCAAATCGCTCGATTCCCCACCTGTGTTTCTTGGTTTGTAATTCCCATGTACCATCTGGTTATGACTAACAGTTTACCATGGATAGATCCACCATGCTATTAAGTTCGGTAAACCATCAATTTCGATTAGGGCCATCTATACCATGGCTATGTTAAATAACCAGAGGGTAAACAATAGACATATCATATATCTACCATAAACATCCATAAACCTAGCACTTCTGTCAGTTATAACATGTTATAACATGTTGTAACCCAATTATTCGCTAAGGATTCAGGGCATCACCGCATCACACCGCGATGACCAGCCCGTTGTGGGTCCTTTTTTTCTAGCCGTTCAGCTGCTTGATCCCCATCAGCTGCAGGATCCGAAGTTTCTCATCGAAATGTCCTTTAAATTAACAGTTCGACCCTGGTAGATAGGGGTTGGAAGATTTGTGAAACCTCTAAAAATTGGTGATTTTCAGGGTCTATGTTAATTTACCAGAGGGTACTAGTTGGTGATGTCATTCTCCTAAAGAACACTAGTCACTTGGGATTATCATTGAAAAAAAGGTTGAAAATAAAGAATTTTCGAACTCGCCAACCAGATTGGTATTGTACAGTAGCGTCATGAAAAGTCGTATGAATGATGCTTCAGCTAAGCCACAAAACATACCCATGGGGCCCATCCCTTGGCTTCTGGCTAGTAGACCAGGCTGGCTACGAACCTCCCGTTTCGCAACGAATCAACCATCACTTATCAATGATATCAACATATTTTTCAAAGCTGAAGTCCCAAAGATACCCATCCCAATATCTTTGATATTTGATAAAACCCCGTTAAAACCCCTAACATGCAGTGTTAAATCCCCTCAAATGCCACAATCAACACATAAAAGCCATCAATTCAAAATCATATCAACTTATACATATATATATATATATACAATTATCTATTATATATATATATACATATATATATATATACATATACATATCCCCATATTTTTGCATGCCTAATAGCTATAATCTAATTTAAGTAAAGCCCGCATTCTTTTAGAATCCCATGATCCACGCGGATTTTTTCAGCTGACGCAGTACTGAAGGCACTCGGACCTGCAGTGAGAGAGTAGTAGGGTGTTGTGTCTGTATGGCTATGGCTATGGGTCAAAAGCATGGCACCTAGTGAACCCCAAAATAGCTGGTAAATGGATGTTCATCCCACTAAGATTGACAATACCGGCCTTTGACCCACTCCCATATTTGTGTATGCACAACACATGATATGCATTATATATCATTTACAATAACAAGCGGAAGGACACTAACAAGAATAACACAACAATAATAATAATAATGAATAAGGGTCATAATAATTAAAAATCATGACAATAATAACAATGTATGTAATGTAATGTAATGAAATGAAATGCAATGTGATGCGATGTAATGTAATGTAATGTGCTGTAATTTAGTAATGTACTGTAATGTACTGTAATGTAATGTAATGTAATGTAACGTAGTGAGTGCAGTTTAGTGTACTGTATTGTAGTGTAGTTCAGTGTAATGTAATGCAATTAAATGTAATGTCATGTAACATTAACGGAATGTATGATATAATGTAATGTAATAAAATGCAATGGAATGGAATGAAATGAAATGTATGTACGTAAGCACGTATATAAATACCGTACGTATATGTGCACTCAACCAGCCAAAACGGGATTTAAACTGATTTCATCAGCACATATGAGGATTACAATCTGATGGGTATGCGGTCATTGGTTTCTACTGGGTTTACTCCATTATACAATGATGGGTCCAAGATAGCGGGAAGATTGCTGGGAATATCGCATATTTTAAGAAATAAATGATCCTCAAGTCATGGATTTCAATACGAAGTCATGGTCATCCATGACTTGGATGATTTGGGGGACCATGAAATGCAATTAAAACCCCAGTAAAATCCTATGAAACCCCATTGAAATCCCATTGAAATCCTGTGAAATTCCATTGAAATCAGCACCTTCCCATGGCACATCATTGGAACGCTGAACATCTCCACAGGTCTCCACGGGTCTCCACACCCGACCGTGGTTGGAAGCTTCAACGTGGCAGTCCATCTCCAACTCCTGCGATCAAAATGAAGGGGGGTTTCCCATAAATAATGGGATCCATAGTGATTGATAGTGGTGAATAGTGATAAATAGTGGTTTCATAGTGATAAAAATAATGGTGAATAGAGGTGAATAGTGATGAATAATAATGGGATTGAATGGGATTTATAATGGTGAATAATAGTGATGAATCATGAACAATGGTTCATAATGGTGAATATAGTGATATTGGGGGGTTCCAAAAAAGGGGCTACCCCAAAATCATGGTTTTCAATTTGTTTCAATACTAAACTGGTCGTTGGATGATTTGGGTCTATCTCTATCTCTGGGTACCCAAAAATGGATGGTCTGATGGAAAATCCTATTGTTTAATGTATGATTTTAGGCTAGAAAGGTTGAAACTTGAAACCATGGTTTCCGGTTGACTCTCCCACTCATCCAACAGAAACTGGTCGGTTAAACGCACGGTAAAACCTTTGAAACGATGAAAGACCACGAGTGGGAATATGAACCGCTATTTTTATCCGTTATCTCAATTGCTGGTGAACTCGTCTAAAAAGGAATCTCAGAATGTGCTCATTTCACGTCAACAAAGTTGCCAGAAGCTTCGACCCAGATTTGCTTGTCTTCAAGCCTCTGGAACAGATTGGTCTTTGGGGATCAGCCCAAATAAAATATAAAAGGGGAAAACAAGATGCAACCCACGAACCCGAATGCTCACACGTATGATAACGAACCCTGGAAGTCATAGTTATGCAAGACATGGACCGCACAGCATTAGTGGCAAAAGAAACTGCGTAGAGCAGGAAGCGTGAAGCGTGAAGTGTAATGCGTACTGCCTGAAGCAAAGCATGAAAGCATAAAGAAAAATGTGATGCTTGAAGTGTAAAGAGCAGAGTGTGAACTGCAACAACTCTTTTCCAGTTTCGGCGATGTTTGGATGCTACGCATTCAGGAAAAATGAAACATGTTGAAACAACCAAACAGACAACCAGAAAACTCTCAATTTTGATGAATGTTGAAACGATCTTTCAGACGGGTCGCCATCAGTTGTTTTAGAGCACTGATGACTGGGTCACCCCCATAGCTTGACCGCTTGACGTCGACATTAACATTGCACGACACTGTGACACAATTGTGGCACCAAATCAGCCGGGGGCCCTACAAACATTTACAACAACCTCAAAGAAAAGATAGAGGTCCATCAAAACCGATCCTAAATGGTATATTTTTTTATAAAGTGGTGGTTTTTTTGAATGGATATAAATGGTAACTTGAACCTTTTCCGAATCTTTTTGGAGCGAAATCACCTTGAAAACGGTCCAAAATCGTCGCTCCAAAAATCTCCGGTCCTTCATGAGCTCCAAAACCTCGAGGAGGTTTGGGTCTGGTTTGGGTCTGAAAGTCATGGGTCGATGTCCGGAACATTTATAGTGAGTTTTCCCATTGAAAATGGTGATTTCCCATAGTTATATGATATATATATATATATGACATATATATATATGAATATGATTACCATCTGGTTATGACATTCACAGTTTGCCATGGAAAGATCCACCTAATTTTTAAGTTCGGTAAACCATCTATTTCGATTAGGGCCATCTATTATACCATGGCTGTTAAATAACCAGAGGGTAATAGGGATAAAATATGGTAAATATGTATAAATAAGATAAATAATGATAAATAGCTGTAGCTGTTCGGCACATGCCCAAAATCCAGTAATTATGTTTATATCATTGATTTCCCCTGAAAAGTGCCATATTAATTGGGGAACGCAGCCCATTTCCACAGCCGAATCCATCGTGGTTCCAGCGAAAATTCCCATCTTTCGGATATCATCTTCAATGGATGTAATGTCAGTAAAGCAACAGTGTTTACCATCCCGAATTTTAACATCAATGGGTGGCATAAAATCATCAAAATATCTCAAAATATTGGTGGTTGATGTTGATTCTTGCTTTACCAACAGTACACACTGGGGATTTTAAGCCTAGAGACCGCTTCCTGCATAGAAGCGTCGGCATGATGCGAATGCTGCCTGGACAAGTGGAGCATTGGCCGATGGGATGACGCCAATACGTCATTGCAGTGTTGTCTGGTTCATCTGTTGTTCTACAGATTTGCACGTGGAAATGTTTGTTCTACCTGATGCACGGTTTGGGATTTTATATGATTTTAAAACAAAAAAAACATATGCAGTATTTTTACCCACCAATGCTAATTATGTATATAGTTTGTTTTGCATGCCAGTTATGAACAGTGTGACACCCCTTTGAGGTGCCAACATCAAGAACCACCTTCAAAACGGTGATGAACCACGAGTCGTCAAAAAGGATCCGTTCTATGTCTAGAGTTCTAATCCCAACATTTTGACAGAAAGATCAGAATATGATGAATAGTAGCCTCTGATTATTTAACATATAGAATATAGCTATGGAAAAAATCAGCATATCTCAATAGGTGAGTATAGGGATTCATCCATAAATGGGCCATGGCTCAACTGGTTCATACCGGATGGATTTTATCCCATGGAAAATCGATGAGAATCCACCCATTGTCCGGAGGGTTCGAATCGAACAAAGTGGGCCATCGAACTACCATAGCTTTCTGGGGGGTTCCTAAAATATGGCTACCCCCAAATCATCCAAGTCATGGATGACCATTTTTTTGTATTAAAACCTATGGTGACTTACTTGGGTCTTGGGTTACCCCCATTTGAGGAAACCTCCATATGAAGTGATGATTAATATCGAATGTTTGAGTTTGGGTTTAATCTAAGTAATCTACATACTGGGTATCATAATCATTACCATAGAGGGTACATCAGAACCAACGAGCCACATCCTGACCTCTTCCCTGTGACGAGAACCAAATCGCCCGGCTCTCCACCTGAGGCCTCGATGGCGGAGAACCACGAAAAATGGTGGATTTCGCTAGAGAAAATTGGTGGAATGCGCTATCGCTATACCCTCCGGGAAAATTTCACATAGCTACATGGAAAATCACCATGTTTGATTACGGTAAATCATTTAGAAATGGGAGATGTTCCATAGCTAGGTGAAGTTCCCTGAGAACAACTCTCTAAGTCTTGAAATTCCACTATTTTTTGTGTACCCTCCAGTAATCGAGCCTGGAAACCCTCCATGGGCAGAGGATATTCCTCTGATTTCCACATTAAATCCCTATCTTTCTTGGTTCAACCATCATTTTCATTGAAAAAAATGTGTTTACTGGTGAAACGCCCATGCTTCTGCGTAAAACAATCATGTTTACATCTTTGTTGGTTGAACCCCAAGTTGTGTTAGAAAACCCCCAATTTCTCTTGGAAAGATCACCCTTTTTGGTCACGTCTGGTCAATACTTAGGTCGAAATGTCCTATCTGTACCGTCTTGGAGTTGAAATAATAGTAACATTCCTATGCAAAATCACCACATGGAACACTCCACAGGCCATCTATACCATAGCTATTTTGAATTACCAGGTAAGTGGTACAGTGACAATATAGGCTATATCCAATCATCAACTACTATTGGTAGTAATAGTACTACTTACTACCACTTGGATATTACAACCAGTAAATATGTGATTTCACATACCAGTTGTTGATATATCCCATGATGTCCACATGATATTCCATTTTTTTAAAGGTGCCTTTTTTACATGCCAAAATCGCATCCTCAGTCATGGTTTTCGTTGTATCCATCATGTGGTAAACTCAATTCTTAGCTCCGGTGAAGAAATCCTCAAAATCCGATGAGTTCTTTCTTGGATAAGCCAGTGGAGCCAGTGGATAATCCACCGAAAAAACTGGTCTGAAAATGGGCTACATATCGTGTACATCCCCCAACCATTTGAACAGGGAAGCCTGCTCCATCAGTGCCAGCATCGCCAGCACGACTCCCACTTCCGTTGAAAGGCCATGCCTCGGCGGGGCCCACAGTTTGTTGGGATTGTGTTCCGGGAAAGTCGCGCGTTAAACCAGCAAAAAGTGGGAGATCGCGCCATATTTTGCAAACAAACCTGGTGGTTTTGTCTTTTGTGTGGATTACAAAGTAAATGCTGTTGCTAAGATGGCGTGATCCTTAGAAAGTCATTGATTTAAAGTTTATAAAGACAAAGACGTGGAAATAAACCACAAAACGTTTGGTTGCAGAAAAAGTTGGAGTTTTCCTCAAAAATAAAATTGCAGTTTGTCAGTAAAAACGGTCGCTTTGTTGTGCAAAATAAGGATTCGCCCCCATAGAGGCATACCGCGTCTGGAGGAGGGGGTATAATGGATATATGATATATTGATAAAATAATGATAAATATCATTTGGATTAATTTGGGATTACTTTATTTCTTGCCACGTCTGCCTCGTGACTTACATGTGAACTTGGGGTTTAACACCTCGCCTCGTTACATAGCGTTGGGAAATAGTGGCCTCGCCTCGTTATATAGTTGCACCTAAGTATGCATAGCTCATGAAGGGACCCCAAAACGGGAAAAAAAAAAGTCGGGGCCTAGGAAAGTGTTTTCTGGTGAAAACAGATGATGCTTGAAGTAGTGGACAAACACTTGAGGGACCTTTCAGCCAGCACTTCCCGCGCAGGCAAATGCCTTTTTTCCCTTTCAATCTTGTTTGCGCCGCTTGGGCGGGTTCATTTCGTCAGAAATAGAGTTAAATAGAGGACACCTGTCGGTTTTATAGCCATTTCCGTTGAGCCTCCCAAAAACAAAAAACGAGGAAAAAATTGCTGGCATGGAAATGTTTTTTCAACAAGAAAAGAGCCTCGCAAGTGCCTTGAAACGAATGTTGTTGCTCCTTCTCCGTGAGAAGAAAGGAGACGGAATCAAACAAAAAATCATGTGCCTGAAATTTGTTTGTTTTACATCTGCATGTGTGTCGACACATCCCTGTGCAAGTGGCTTGGATGGGCTGTCCATATTCATCGCCTTGCTGGTACCGTAAAGCTTGGTTCCTCACCTTGTCGCTCACCTCGTTAATGTTGACTTGTCTACCTGAGTCTACATCGTTGCCTCAGCTGTCCTTGGTTTCTAGTTGTGCAGTTGTAATCGTCCCGAAGTAGATACAACATGATACAACATGGTATGTTGAAACATATAACCGCTGGGTGATGTTTTTTCCCAAAAGCATTGTATCTTCTGCAGGATATGTTTTTGCATGATCAGGAGTGGATGGTGGTTTCGGAATTCCCAAATTTTACCCGCCTAATACTACACAGGACCAAATTAGTGGTCCTTCAAGAACTCACCCCGTAGCATTTGGTAATGGTCCAGAAGATGATTGAAACGACAGCGGCAAACAAGGAATTCACCATGAAAGCGGTATAGTGTGTTCTTTTCCAATATGAATGAAGGCAGTGAAGGGTTTTGATGAATACCCTCGGCATTGACATTTATCCAGGAAAATATAACTGAAAGCATTGTTTTTTCTGGATTTTGCCAGTGTTCAAAAGTAACATTTTTTGCCGGTATCCGAGATGGTGTCAGAAATTTATGCATCTTGCAACGATCTCATGCACCTTCATTTCCACAAATGACAATGAGTTGGGGAAATCAACCCAATGTATCCCCAGATCAGTTTCTTCCATATTTATGAAATAATATCATGAAATTTGCATCAACAGAAACTGAACCATACTGTTATTTTCTAAGTATGTCTTATGATTTTGCACTCTGGCATTTAACATAGCTATGCAAAATTATCCTTTTGAGCAGGCAATTAATTTTTAAAATGGGACATCACCATAGCTGCCGCTATGTTTTCATGGACCAGAAGGCTATGAATTCTGAAACTTCCAAGGTCGTGGAGGCAGGGCCTCCCCACAAGTCGACGGCTGCACCCTCCAGCCACAAGTGGTGAGCACCTCGCGTGCAGTGGATCACAGAATGTCAGGAAAGTGACAAATTTTTCCCGCAATTTCACATGTGCCATGGTCAAACAACAGATGATCGCACATGTTAAGCGACAGTATCTGGTTGGAATCAACAGAGATATTTTTTAAGCTACAGACAAGACCGAAGCATACCTTGCACAACATCCTGTTGAACAGAAAGAACACAAAGTGACAACCCTTCTGGGGCGGCAAGTCAGCCGGGAAAAAAAAAAACGTGTTTTGACCATGGCACCCATGGCACACATGGCCAACAAACCCTACCATGTTTGACAGCTCAACCTCATAGATGGGCCAAGCTGATATTGAAGGCCAGCTCATGATCGAGGCGTTCAGCTTTGACCTAAAGAAAAATCTGATGACCCACTTTTGTTGGTTGATGTTGGTTGCATCCTCCCTCGGATCCTCACACTAATGGGCTAAAAAATGATGACATGCTAAAATTTGATGATTCTGAGTCGCTCTGTTCTAGTTTCATCCCGCAATGTCCTTGCTTATAGTCCCATGGAGTGCTGAAGATGAATATCCCAACTGACCCTCATGTTCATTGGCTTTCGAGCACGCCCCAGTTCTGTTTGTTGGCTTATAACATCTTATAACCCCAACTATAGATTCATCAGGATATCCATTCTGAACCCCAGTTGACAATAATTGACCTAGGCAAATCCACCAATAAAAACCCGCACCTTGGTCGATCAAGTTCCGAAGAAGCGCCAGGGCCTTTGAGGGGTCGGCCCTGATTGATATGGAGATTTATATACCAACTTTTACCATCACAAATGGTGGATTTAACTAGGAAAAATGATGATTCAAACATGGTTTAACTAGGAAGAATACTGGAAATCCCCGAACCGACTTGAGGTTTATAGCTGGGAGAAATCATCTAGGCATACTGGGTTTTCCAGCAAACCACATATTGCCCCCGGTTGATTACCGGAGAGTACCCCCTGGTATTTTAACACCTTGCGAACTGGAAAATCACCATGTTTAATAGTTAAATCATCGAACTCGACGGGCTGGATCTTCAAGGCTATGTTAAAATACCGGAGGCTAAGACCTGACTAAACAATGACAATCAACTGGTATGTGAGGACCATTTTTTGGTGGTCCAATGACAAGGACTGGGGTATACCACCAACTTTTTAGTGGGATACAATGGAAATTCCCGATACAATGGAAATTCCCATACCCTCCGGTGGATCAACAAAACAAGATGGAAATCCATAGTTGTGTCTCATTCAGTCATGGGGGTTCAATCTCTATGTCAATTCAGTGGCGGGAAAGTCCAGGAACTCACCACCAGGATGAAGCCCAATCGGATTTGTGGAAAATGCGTAGGTTCCTATTCGTGTTACCCTCTGGTAAACTAGCATAGCTAAGGAAAATCATCACTTTTGAATATGTAAATCAACGAACTTTCTATGGCCATTTCCAATAGCTACGTTAAATTACCAGAGGGTAAGCATGTCTCTTAAAATCCCGAAAATTTTTCAATGCAGAGTTTCGTACATGCCGATCCCAAATTATAATTTGCTGTTTACTTTTCAAATCTTTCTTTGGGGCTACGTCAAAAATGGATTCATCTGGGAAAACCTGCAAATTAGACAAATCCACCCAAAAATCTGGGACTATTGTTGGATCATGTCAACTCCGGATTTAGTTTATACCAATGTTTGCAATGGGGGTCCCCTCCAAGTGATAAGATGATGCCTCCACAGGGCTCGCCTCGCCGGGGCGCTGCGCTTTTGACAAACACGAAATCGCCAGCAACCTGGGCATCACCATTTTTTAGCTGGGGTAAATCAACTATTTCTATGGCAATTTTCAATGGCAAACTGCAACAAATTACCGGAACCATCCCCCAACTAACCGTAACTAACTGTTTGACCCTGATAGTTACGCCCATACAAGTAAATGGGTGCAGAATTGTTTTTGGTATTTTTTTTTTACAGTTTTGGAATTTTTTTTGGGGTTCGTGCCTCTTCATTTTTTCCATGGTTTTCTTCAATTTTTCCATGGTTTTCTTCAATGTTTCCATAGTTTTCTTCAATTGTTCCATGGTTTTCTTCAATTTTCCATGGTTTTCTTCAATTTTCCATTGTTTTCTGCAAGTTTTCCATGGTGTTCTTCAATTTTTCCATTGGTTTCTTCAATTTTTCCCGGGTTTTCTTCAATTTTCCATGGTTTTCCAATGGTTTTCTGCAAGTTTTCCATGGTTTTCTTCAATTTTTCCATAGTGTTCTTCAATTGTTCCATGGTTTTCTTCAATTTTCCATCGTTTTCTGCAAGGTTTCTTTGGTTTTCTTCAATCAATCAATCTATATATATATATATGTATGTATGTATGTGTGTATGTATGTATGTATGTATGTATGTATGTATGTATGTATGTATGTATGTATGTATGTATGTACGTAGGTAGGTAGGTAGGTAGGTAGGTAGGTAGGTAGGTAGGTAGGTATGCATGCATGCATGCATGTATGTATGTATATGCAGGGTGTGGTTTAGGGTTTAGGGATACAACATGTAATTAGGTATAATTACATGATTATTTGTTGTTTATGTTGGGATCAAAGTTGTGTATAAAAACAACCACAAATATGTCATATATATATATGTATACGTCTGTATATCTATAAATAAATATGTATGTGTATTTATAATATATATATATATACTTATAGTTATATAATTAAATAAATATATATACATTGATATGTATATACATATTAATATGTATGTATATATATATATACATTTTTATAAGTACATGAATATATATAAATATAAGTGTATATATAAATGCAAATATATACATATACATATACATATATATATATGTATACGTGTGTCTATATATATATATATGTCTAGATATATATATAATTTTTAACAAAATATTAATATAGTCGAATCAAACAAGTGTATTGAAAAGTGTGCAAGTTTGAATTTAAATAATTAAAAAAAGCGGGAGGGGGGGATTGGGGGGGAGGGCTGAAGAGGGGCCCTAGCGTCTACTTCAAGATCAGCTAAGGCGTCTTCCCCAATGACAGCACTTGTTTTACTCAGCCTGTTGCCGGTCCGTGCTTGTCTACAGGGTTACTCTATATCCCTCTTGAGCCTTGAAGGGCGCATATAAATGTGCTCAATACTCATGCATGTACCTATGTAGGTATTAGGTCGAAACAAAAACACAGGCACAAATTCAAAAGCAATGAGTAGAGCACTACGCCTTGCCGTACCCAATTGGTATTAAGAGTATCTTCCTGACTTCTCTACACAATGGCAAATAGCAAAAGAAACCGGAGTTACGCAGTGGCTTCGAATTGAAAAACACGTGAAAGCAGCGAATGTCCTAAGGACATGTCGAAAAAGAACAGCGGATTCGCTAATTTTTCCAGTAGCGACCAATGGTGCTTCGCGCACGGTCTCTCCATAGGCAAAATGCCTTGCTCTACCGGTGAAAGTTCGAATTGAAAAGTTCGGGTTCGCAAGATTCAGAAATTCAGGTCATACGAAAAACAATTGACCAAATCACGAAATAAACGGAAATAGCGGATCTCCAAAGTTGCTCATTCAAGCAAACAATGGACTGAAATCGAAGTTGGTAATTTTTGGAGTTCGCTCCATTCGGAGTGGTCTGCTCGCCGGATGGTTCATGGAGATAAATGTATATAGTATCTCTATTTACAAGAGTCTCTATTTTACATTAAATTGAAGTTCAGACACTTGTGGCATTATCTCTATCTAAAAGAGTATATGCCATCTGTGTGAAATAAGTTGAACGCACAGAAAAACTGTACACGGCCTCTCATGCTGTGTTATCTTCAATTAAAGAAGTATACACTCACTCATAGCCAAAAGCTTGATCTCCATGGTCTGGACGAAGAAGATGAGGATCCACCCCACTCTGTGTTGCCCTGATACGTCGATGCTTGATCTTCATATGCCTTTCTCTTTTTCTCCTTCTGTCTTTCCTTTCTTGAATCAGCATACTGCTTCTTCTTGTAGGCCTGTTTGTAATGATGTCGTTCATTCCATGACATATCAGAAGGATCAAGATGAATAAGAATTGGATTATGAGCATCGCGATCATTTGGGGCAACCATGAAGATGTTGTGATCACCATGTAAGCAAGTTTCATTTACCTTGAAGTAAAATTCACCCACATAGTTCATGTGATCTTCATCCTCAAAGTCTTCTGGGTGTTCCTCACACATCAAACGTGAATGACCCCACTCAACAACTGTTAACATACAACAATCACCTTTACCATTTGTCTTGTTCATGAGCTCGTCGGTGTATGTTGCTGTTGTAATGCCATCCAAGTGCGTTGCAAGAAAATCCAAGTCACGATAACTGCAAGAAATGAAATGCTTGACCCTGATTGGAGGGCAAGATGAATCAAAATACTTGCGCATGGCTTGTGTTGCAACACCTACCATTCTGTTGATCCAGAATTGGATAAGGCTGTGTTGGTATGTAGGGACACCTGGAGATTTTGGTGTGCTGTAATAGCATGCCTTGTTTCCATCACCTGCGATGAAGTCAACTTGATATCTGGCACACTCAAAAGCCATAACAGCTAAGCACTCACCAACAATCCCAGCAGAGTCTGATGCATACTTCTGTCCGACGTGATAAACGCACACACGTGTCATTCTCATCCTAGCTCTTGTCAAGTCAACAATCTCATCTGTATCTCGATCCTTTGTCTTTCCCCAAGATACTTCAAAGATTGCCCATGAGACTTGTCGAACTCGTGTGTCGTTGTCATCTGTGTGATATCCAGCAATTTGCTTGATATAGCCATCCTTTCCAAGGCGAGCTGCCACCATCAAGTCATGATAGTCATTGAAGCAAGTTTTAAAGTCAACCTCGTTGAGTCTTTCTCTGTGAGGATACAATGAACCAGCCTCGCAATTCATGAAAAGATGTCCTCCAAAGTTCTTGATGACATTGATGAAGTAATT